CTGGGTCCTTGCTCCAATCTCATCTGTAATGACCTTGAACCACAGCATAGGACATTGAACCTAGACCTCAGAGATCTGTGTGTGAATCAATCAGGGAGAGGAAAAAAAAAGGGATTATGTCTATTCTGCCCCACAGGAAGGAGGCCGTTCTATCTGTAAAATGTAAAAATCCAATAGAAACTGGAGCAGACGGATGAGAGTGACTCTTGTAGTATCCTGGGAGAGGGAACTCATATCTGTGCCTTTCCTATGTGTATATAATCCCCCCAAAAGAAAAAAATTAGGCAGAAACCCAAAGTGATAGAATTTTACCTCTTGGGTAGGTACAGCAAAAGGAGGGTGCCTACCTCACTCTCCGTACCACTGAATGGAGCTGAACCAGATTCCAAGCTCCATGGGAACAAGGTCCATATCCATTTGTCCACCACTGTAACCCAGCATCAAGCATACCACCTGGCCCACAGGAGAGTACCAAATAGTTGTTAGATAAATAAATTAGCTGAGGCAGCAAACCAGTCTCTGCTTATAGTTTTCCTTGATTCACAAAAGACACAGAAACTCCTTCTACCTCTATTGATCTCTCCCAACACACTCTCCAAAGCCCTCTGGTCTTGAGGACCAATGGACAGTCCAGTCAAATCTTTCATCTTAGGGTTAGAGATGCTGAAAATCCTCCTGGCCAAAACATCATTTCCAGACTTTCTCTCTAGCCTCTCTCATACCTCAGTTTATGAGTCTGCTTAGTTAGGAAAAATTTCCGGCTAGCCAGAGGTAAAATCCCATAGTTAGAGACTTTTTCTAGCTCATATGCTCCATATTCTGAATTTATATCTTGACAGGGTCCTGGGATTGAAAACAAAATTCCTGGATATTCTTCCCAACAAGAAATTTTCCTCCACAATTATATTAGAGGGGGTTTTTTAACCAGAGGCAGAAACACCAGACATGGTCCCTCTGAAAGGAATCTAGATATCCTAGATTAGACATTAAAGTGGGGGGTAGGATGTGTTGAGTAGGGGAATCAAGACATATATAGAGAGAAAGAGATAGATATTTAGATATTCCATCTGTCTTTGTTTCCATTTAGTACCCAGTCCTGAGATAATCATGTCTACTCCCTGTTTCCAGACTACACAACCTTTTCCTCCCTAGCCCATGAGGGAGGGAGGACTGTATTTCCATTTAAGGGTATTCCTCCTTTCTCACCTCTTTAGGAACCACCTGACCCAGAAAGTTAGGGAAATTCTCCTAGCCAGCAAAATCCATAAATCCTTTTATTTCCTTTCATCTGATTTTTCAAAACCTCCCCAATATTCAAACAATGCCAGATACAGAAAGCCATCAATTTGGAATCTACCTTGATACTAAGATCCTTCTCTGGGCAGAGGTTGTGGCTCAGAGGTAGTGTGCTAACCTAGCATGCAGGAGGCACTGGGTTCGATCCTCAGCACCATGTAAATATAAAATAAAGATACTGTGTCCACCTAAAACTTAAGAATAAATATTTAAAAAAAAAAAGATCCTTCTCTGCTTTGAGAAAAGGAGACTGAGAATTTACTCCTGTTGATTAATCATGGGGACATGGTACTTTTAAATTAGCACACGTAGCTGGCTAGAATGGAAGCAAGGTGCGTATAGGATGAGCTATTTATGCTGTGGGGAGGCCATCATGATAGACTAAGGATCAGATCGTTGAAGTGAGTGAACACCAGAATAATCTAATCACTAAGGTTAACGATCCTTGTCCACCATGTAAGGCCATCTCAGCTGGGACACTCTAGAGAGTCAGCTGCCTCCACTCTCCTCTCTCTGCAGGTTTCAGTGCCTTCTGTGATCCTCTTCTGTCATCATTGAGCATTTCTCACAATCAAGGCAGAGATAACAATTTGTTTTCAGGAAAGACTTTTAGTTAGAAAGGTGTGAAAGATGGTAAAACCCTCACTTCTACAGGGCCTCACTACCTGCAGGCAAGGTGAATATATGGTGAGCCACCACCTGTGCCATGGGGAAGTCATCCTGAGAAACTGAGTTCTCCCATTTATAGACCCTAAGGCCCCCACTTTGCCATTCAAATACTTTCTTACCTGCCCCTCTCTTCAGCTTCCTTACCGTTAGCAAAGCATCATTTTCTATCAAAAATCACCTACTGCTCCTCCCAACAAAAATCAATTCAGTCCAGTTTTCCATTTCTTCATCCCAGAACTCATTCCAAGGCTGTGCTTCATAGAGCCTAGCAAATTACATTGGCCAGAGGCAGCAAAGGAGGGGGACCGAGGAGCACATTTGAAGTCCAAGCTCTGTTGCCCACCGTGCCTCAGTTCTCCCTAAGGCCTCTCTAAGCAGTGAGAGTATAAATCAGACCCACCTGCCCAATATAAAAGCATCATCTTGTCACCACAGGCGAAGTATCTGAAGAACACAACCATAAGCATCCATCCATCCCCTTCCTCCATTTCTCACTTTATCAGAACCCAGAAATAGAAAGCTTCAGTGTTCACTACTAAGGTGACTGGGGGAAAATGGGGTTCAGAGGTTATGTTTACTATTTCATCACCAAGTATCCATCCTCTCCTATCTAGCCTCTTTCCTGGTGGCTGTAGGGAGTCATCTCAGTGAAAGGGGCATCCTCCCTTGTTCTCTGATTAAGAATCAACAGACTGCGGAGATTATTACCCGATAGCAACTGACGGGGAAGTAAATATGGTGCCTGGCCTGTCTCTGACCCAATCCTCTCCTCCTCTGAGGAGCAAAAAGAAAAGTTCCTTTCCTCCCTGAGACTGGTGTGTGGGACACCTGAGTCCTTCCTTTCCCCATTTATTCTTCCCCACAAGCCCTGATCCTGCAACAATAAAAAATGATGCCAAAATGTGCTTGGAGATCCCGGGAGATCCTATATAAACAAAAAGGCTTTGATTAAGCCAATTACCTGGCTCCTGTCACTCATCCTTTCTTCACTGCCACCCCCTCCTCCAGCTCCCAGGTGGGGGCTCCACCCCCTCCTCCAGATTCCAGGTGGGTCATTAATATGCAGAGTGAGTTTCCAGGCCCCAAGAAAAATGAGCTACCTAAGTATGGGGCACCCTCACCCCCACTCCCTGTGGGATGCAGAGGGCAGAAACTACCAATCCCAACCAACCTATATATGACCCACAGGTTGGCACAAGTATCCCCATGCACTACATCTGCAGCTGTGTGTAATCACTACAACACAGCTCTGTGACCCACGGACACTTGTGCACACGCATGTGATGTGTCTCACATCTGCACAACCCTGCACATGGATACGTGTGAGTCAGCCTGGCACCTCCTGAATGCTGCCCGTCTGCAGCCCTGCCACACCGCACATACTGTGCCGCCTCTTCGCGCTGCGTGTGTCACCCGGGGGGTCCACAGGCACTGGTATATCGTTAGCTTTGTAACTCCCAAACCTGCTCCAACCAACCGGCTTGCTCCGCACATGCCTGGCACATGTGGCCTGGACACGCGTGTCAGGGCCGTGTTTCCTCGCACCTGCCAATATGTGTGCCCAAGAGAATTTATCAGCCTGGCTCCAGGTTCCCCTCCCCGCCCCCCTGCACACACACTCCAAGCTCCTACGGCCCCTTCCCCCCTGTTTCCCTACCAGGGACTCACAGAGATCGAAGCTTAATCCACATCTTCTTGCTGGGGGCTGACTTCAGCTCCAGGGGTGACGGGCAATCCGACTCCAGCATCTCTGGAGGGCTGCGGGGGGACAGCTCCATGCTCAGCCACTGTCTAGAGAACAGAGGGAGGAGATCGCACCTCGGCTCAGCTTCAGCCCCTAGCCAAGAGACCCTCGCTCCCTACCCCAGGCCCTTCCCACCTGCGGCTGGCGTGGTCCAGCCAGGCCGGTGTCTCTAGGCTCAGCCCGAGCTGGCAGAGCTGCAGTTCCTGCGGCTGCTGCTCTCC